TTTCTATTGCTGAAAAGGATGTTTTTTCCATTTTTTTGAATCTGCTTTTCGAGAAAATGTAAGACTTGTTTTACACTAATTTTGAACTCCTCTTTCAATTCGGAAAGTCAATATTTGAAAAAAGTGGAAAATAGAAAACTTCATTTTTTTTTAAATACATACACATACACCCTACCTACCTACTCCTTTGATATTTTAATTGAAAATTTTCAATATGTTATATCTCAATACCCATAAAAGGTATCAAGCAGAGCTGTCAAAGATACTTTTGAAAAGTATCTAGTTACAAGATAAATTACTGAAGTTACTTTGGGTATTTAGTTACTCATTACAAAAAGGATCTTAAATACCTACGTATCTTAAGTTACTTTTCAAGATATCTAATAAGATACTTATTATAAGATACTTTATTATTATTTCCGAATAGCAGGCGGAAAAACCGATTAAGCTATTGCTATTTTTGGTCCACAAGTTTCCATTTTTTTTTCATAGTTTGAAAATCCCAAATTCGAAAAGGTTCAATTCTTCTCGAGTATATTGTAGGATCTCCAAACCAATACAGCTTCTCATATCGGTGGATGGCTTCACATGAACACTGTTTTCTTCAAATTCGAAAAAAACATTGTCCACAATATTTTCCTTATAAACAGGAATCGGGATATTATCATGACTTTTCTTGTACATAGTACTTCAGCTTTACTGGCCAAACATATCTTATTATGTGCTCTGTTTCAACCGATAATGGAACCGTTTCAGAACCAGTGATTTCTAGTTGCCAACCGATTTTTCATAGTTAAACGTTTATCCTACTTGACAAATGAATTGATCGATTGGAAATTACTGTTCTAGAACGGTTCTCATGTCGGTTGGAACAGAGCCAACTCGCAGAAATCCCGTTAGGTTTGTTCTCACAGGAGTAATGATGAGCGATATATCGCGAACTGTGATTTCATCACTGATATCTAAAAATCACGGATCACAACTGCTACCAAAGTTTTATAAAAAGCGTGACGTGATCACGGCAACGTGGCAAACTAATTTCTTGTATTTTAAGAATAATTTTTTCTTTTTGTAATTTCAAATTCCAAATTGCACCGCAAATTCCATATCGTCGTGATTTGCCGCCGCGATATTTGGTAGATTTTAGCTGCCAAATATCTCAACCGCTAGTAGAAAAAAAAGCATCTGTCTGCATCAGTTTCAGTTGTACTAAAATATATTGGAAGTCGTAATTTAGTCACGCTTTAAAATCACTGATATTCAAAAATCACGGTATCAGTTAACAGTGTGATTTGAAAGATACTTTTGGTGACGATCAGGGCCGCAACTAGAACCCTCGGCGCCCAAGGCAAGTCCAAATTTTGGCGCCCCTCCACCTACTTCCCAAAAGTAACAATAGATATATTTTTTGATGCTTTGGTTTTTGCTTGAAATTTTTCCAATACATTTTCGAAATATATAATTTAGACACATTAAATCAAAAATTTTATTTGGTAGTAGGTATTAAAATTAAAAAAAAAAAGTATTAAAAAACACATTCATCTTCGCTGATGCTACATAATAAATCCAAACGTGCAACAGCTTTTTGTTTGGAAATATTAGCAGAAATTTTTCAAATTTTTATGTACGGTACATGTAAACAAAAACAAAACAAACTGCACTGGCTCTCCACGAGCCTTCCTAGTTCGTGCCAAAAAATGCGCACTGAGTGCATACATGATTGATGAAAGCTGATAATGTGCAGTCAAATGGAATGTAAAAATTACACTGAGTGCACCTCCGTGCAACAAATGGAAAACGCCATTATTTTATCGCGAACAGTTTTGGAACGAGTTCTCCAGACTATCTAATACGTAAACGAACGTTATGTGTCAATCCTGAAGTTCTTGCTAAAATCCTAGGACCGCTAGAACTGGTTCAGAAACGGTTCCGAACCGATTCTGGTTGATCCGCGAATCCAGAACCGTAACTAAAAGTTCGGAATTTTGTGATCCGCGAACGCCATTACTTGAACTGCGCATGCGAAATAGTTTCGAACCAGTTCAGAATCCTTACCGCGAACGAAGCTATTGTAAAAGTAGAAGCTGTTTACGGAAACTATGATGATCGGGTTAACCCGATCGCCAGCAGACGTATTTTGTCTTTTTTCAATTGTATTCATTAAGGAAAGATAGAAAACATTCAGCTGCTGATCGGGTTAACCCGATTATAGTTTCCGTAAACGGCTAAATAGAAAAGAGTCAAAAGAGATAATGCATGCAGCATGCAGAGGGCGCCCACGTCGTACACAGTTCTCTTGCTCAGTTTGGTCGGATCAAAACTCGACTCGAAGCTAATCTCTGGCTAACGAATGTTGGGCGCTACGTCATAAATACTTGAATTTATCACAGACATTGCAATTTGCTGCTGCCTTATTCACGCGCACTATGTTTGACATAATTTATATGATTACTATCGATATTCTTATTGTTGATGGTTGACAAAGAGGGACGTAACACAAGCAAAATAAATTTCCGTGCTACGACAAATGATACGTAAAACCGTTACATTTTATTAGATTGTAAAATTTGGATGGATTAAATTAGGCGCCTTCGGCGCCCTGATACTCCGGCGCCCTAGGCAGGCGCCTAGTTCGCCACCCCCTAGTTGCGGCCCTGGTGACGATGGTACATGGGCGATGCTTACTGACAGTTTGCAAATTGTCAGAGACTCTTGTGAGAACAGACCTACCATCTACCTATTGCTATTACCCACTATTTAAACCAGTCTTATCTTATTGGTTTGGGTTTGGGTTTGGGTAAAAGTCTCAAGGAACTTTTTTACTGCAATTTTAATACTTTTTGTTAACTTACATACTTACACTTCTCAGTATCTAAGATAGTTTTCAATATCTAAGATGTTTTTAACTAAATATCTGAGATACTTTTTGGTATCTAAGATACTTTTCGGTATCTAAGATAATTTTTCAAGTTACTAGTTACAGTTCCTTTTAAAAAGTAACTAAGATACTCTAAAGTAACTGAGATACTTTTTTCTGACAGCTCTGGTATCAAGCTAATTTTTTTGAGATTGTAGTTCTTGTAATATGCTTTAATGTGGTATTTAAAAAATATTTGTATCACCCATAGTTTTTGAACAGTTTGAACTTGAAGTTTTAGATGAAATTTCGTCAAAATTCTAACTTTGAGGCTTAATTTCTCAAAGTCTATAAATGCAAATAAATTCATATTTGCAGGATTTATAGAGAATTTAATCCTCTTTCAGAATATCTATAATCTGAGTTGATTGGTTGAAAATTACGGAAACTGTGAGCAAATGTTTGAGATCATGTCAGGACATCAACCATTTTCTATTGCTAAAAAGGATGTTTTTTCCAAATTTTTAAATCTGCTTTTTGAGAAAATGTAAAACTTGTTTTAGACTAATTTTGACCTCCTCTTTCGATTGGGAAAATCAAAATTTGAAAAAAGTGGAAAATAGAAAATTTCGTTTTTTTCAAAAATACATCAGGGTATACTTACCCCTTAGATATTTTAATTCAAATTCTTCAATGTAATGTGTAATATCTCAATACCTATGAGAGATATCGAACCAAATTTTTCTGAGTTTGTAGCTCTCATTGAATGCTTTAATGTGTGTTTAATATTTGTATCACCCATAGTTTTTGAACAGTTTGAACTTGAAGTTTTGGATGAAATTTCCACAAAATTCTAAGTTTGAGGCTTAATTTCTCAAAGTCTATAAATGCAAATAAATTCATATTTGCAGGATTTATAGATAATTTAATCCTCTTTCAGAATATCTATAATTTAAGTTGATTCTTTGAAAATTACGGAAACTGTGAGCAAATGTTTGAAATCATGTCAGTACATCAACCATTTTCTATTGCTAGAAACGATGTTTTCTGCAATTTTTTAAATCTACTTTTTGAGAAAATGTAAGACTTGTTTCAGGCTTATTTTGACTTCCTGTTTCGATTGGGAAAGTCAAAATTTGGAAAAAATGGAAAATAGAAAAAGGTAGCCTTTTGATATTTTAATTCAAATTCTTCAATGTGTAATATATCTCAATACCCATGAGAGGTGTTGAGTCAAATTTTTCTGAGGTTGGATGCTTTGATGTGGTATTTGAATCACCAGTGGTTTTTGAGCAAATTGAACTTGAAGTTTTGGATGAAATTTTACCAAAATTCTAACTTTGAGGGCATCTCTACTATTTGATACTTCTAATTGAAATTCTAACGTCTGAACGTGTTTTAGAGAGTTCTATTTTCATGAAAGTTTTGAGTTAGTTCTAAAGTTTCATGTAACAACGATTTTCAAGATATTCTGAAAGTTTTCAGTTTTAGATTGTTTCTTAGAAGTTCCATAAGTATGTTCTAGAAAGTTCCAAAATACTCTTATTGAAAATCGAAACTTAGATCTAAACCTAAACTTTAAAGTAGGTAGGTACCTCAAGCTTTCTTAAATATTATAATGTTTTCGAAATTCTATAATTTGTTCTGTAGCGTTTTACAATGTTCCTGCAAGTTTCTCGAACAAATGCAGGAGGAAGGAATAAAAATTGAATTGAAAAGCCTTCTGAAGCTAATTTCAAAGTTCTAAATTGCTGTAGAACGTCTCAAAATGCTTAACTTTGTGCTAGAACATTTCCAAAGTTTTTATTCCCTAAAGATTTTGTAGAAGTTATCGGAAATCTCTCAAGACAAATAAACGAAATTATCCTGAAACCTTTAACAAAATAATCCAAGAAAACTTGTAAAGAAAGTCATTGAAAAGGCCATGCACAAACACACTGATGCGATAAAGTGATTCCATTATGGCATGTAGGAAGATATATGTAAATTTTATACCCTGTTATTTACGCAACCATATGAGAAACGGTTAAGTAGGTGTAGTATGAACCTTTTGTATTGGACTGGTGCATACAACCACGCTTTCATGGTACTATTTTTAGGTCCAAATCTTACGTTGCGGCAACGTTGTTTCAACATCCGAGCACGCGAGAGACCCATCGGAGATTATATTATGTCTTTTATTCCAATTTCGACTGGCTTTATGAAAGCTCGGGAAGCTTTTGGCGATTTTTAAACGCACGCGAACCGCGCGAAAAAAGCTCACCTGTTTTTCGTTTCAATGAAAATCCGGAAAAATGTAGTGGGACACTTTGAAAAATCAACTCATTTCTACTCGAAATGATTGAAATAAGACTTTTTTTATAAATTTTAAGTGTATTGGTGTAAAACAAAAAGTCGGGATATTTTTCTAGAAAAATTTTGGCAGCGATCACAGTTTTACGGTAACAAAAACCTCACAGGAAGCGGAAACATGCTTCAAAGAATTGAAAAGAGCATTGGTCAGCGGAAATTCGGTTGCTGAAGGTTAGTTTTTAACTATTGTTTTAGACCATCAATTGATATTTTTGCATGTAGAAAATTCGATTAAATACTAATTTCAATGAAAATTGGCCTTTACTGGTTTGCTAAGAAGTTAATTAAAAACTTCGGCTCTAAAACACAACTTCGCAGAAACTATTTAGATTATGAATTTAACTTTTTTTCTAATTCACCTATGGGAAGTTAGGGAAGGTGTTTGTATATAATCGCTCTAAGGTACCTATAATCATAATTTTTACCCAAAATTTGTATATGTATAGTACATTGAAATATGTTTTTAGAATCTTATTTGATGCTTCGATAGTTCTCAAAATAATACAATTTCAAAAGTACCTACTCACAGAAACTCCGGAAACTTTCAGGCAAAACTGTCTCGCAGATCCATAGAAAATTGTTTTTCTTCAATTTTAGGGCTGTTTTTCCATTTCCATATTATCAGAAAACTTGAGAAAGTCGAAATCAATTAGCTCAAACTGGGCATGAAGTAGCTAAAAGCAAAGAATCTAAAAGCATAATCTAGAGGATATCACAAGGAGGATATAGCACATAACCCAGCGCATTTTTCTAATTTAACGAATAGTAGAATGTGCTATAAAATACAAAGTTGCCAAATTACGTAAATTGTACATGATCTGTGGGATTCCCAGACTAAAATCATTCACGAAAAAGTGATGTACGATAATAGGATGATATGAGATTAAAATCTTTATCACAGTTTTCCAGATTTGCCCAACAATATTATTATACATTAAAGTTTCTGCTGATTTCTGCTATCAAAAGAAAATGAAATTCACCATATAAATTTTTGTTGAATTTCTCTGTATACCTATACAAGTTAAATAATTAAATCAACTGCTTTATGTTATCATTTGGAAAGTTGAATAATGTTATAAATTATACAAAACCAGGTACGCCTACGCCCAAAAATATGTTATTAACTGTTTTTAAAGAAAATGTCAACATCGAAAAACCAGTTTCTTGCATGCTGAAGTCAGCATAAACATAAAATTTATTTATAATAATTGTTGCTAAAATTTGCACACAACACATTGTATTTAATTCAGTAAGTGGAAATTTATTTTATTCACAACTCCACCCTACTATGGCCTGTTTCGCATCAAACTCTTGGTAAAATAAATTAATGGAGACACCGGGCGTTTCCATTTCCTAAAGTGTTTCGCTTGAAGAAAAGTTTTGTTGAAAATTGGTTTCTTTTTATTTCCATTCAGATATATTTTAGTTTTTTCCAACAACTAAGTAAGAAATCTGTCCCTTTTATGTCTATAATCCTATAGTTCCTGTTGTTGTCTATAAAGTTTAAAATTTACTTCTTCACTAAGAGCAAAAATTTATTCAGCAAGTGTAACACCATCGATATAATAAATTAATGCTAGACATTTATAGGGCTGCAATATGACATAGTTTAAAAGCTATGGGGAAAGTTTTCTAAATATACAAGCGGGCCAGAGAGTTCAATATATTTTCTTTTTGCTCCTCGAAGTTTGGATTGTTAAAAAGAAAATATTATTTATGAGAGAAAGGTGGGTGTTACTTTTTCTTTTAAAAATCGCCTTCTTCAAGAAAACTTTGAAGGTAATACGTACTTACCTATGAAAACTTTGGCAATTATATTTGTTCGGTACAGCGTAATAAATATGGCATATTTAATAATGAATGGTTGTTTTTAGAAAGTTTAAATCCAAAATAAGATAATTGAACATCGATTTTCGAATCAAATTATCTTCCATTATAGTGTTTAACGTTGCCAAGAAGCTTTGCACAACCTAAAATCCATCTTAAAATAGAAAATGATTAACTAAATGCAGGACTTGTGGTGGGTTGCCGCAAGAAAATCCGCATAGCGCAGTTACTGATTGAATACGAATTTCTTTTAAAAATAAAAGGGATTGGAATATGCATATTTCTTCAATTTAAAAAATTAGATGATTTTGATTCATTGGTTTTTTAAATCGAATAGATGGTTATTGATTAATGGGAAAAACGAGTTTTTGAGAAAATTGTTGTTTGAAGCTCCATAGCTTAGAAACTGTATAGTTTACCTGAAACAGTTAAAGTTGAAATAAATTTGCTCAAAAATCATCGAAGTAAAACTAGAAAAAATTAAAAAATTCAAATTCTGAATTTTAAGCACTGTTGTTATCGGGAAAACTCGAGGGGCAAACCGTAAATCAGTGAGATTTCCCATGGTTTCTTAAGATTTTCTTTGATTTTCTCATGATTTCCTCTAATTTTCTTGAATTTCCTCTCGATTTCCCCAATTTGAACACCAAATTACACAGTGGCGGATACAGTGGTGGGCAGGGGGCAACTTCCCCCCCTTTTTAAAATAAAATAATAAAATTTAAAAAAAAAGAAAACAAAACCATATTTTGAGCTTTAAGATTGTTTAAAAAGCTGGAAACCTATAAAAAAATCACACCTATAAGTTCCGCAATAATCCACTTATTTGTACAAGGTGTTTTTTTTTTCATATATTGACACCTCACCTTTACCTTTACAGGAGAACACAATTTTCCAATTTCATTGTGCTCTTCAAGAATATGTAATTAAATAAATATAAGGCATCTTATTTGAAAAAAGCTGGAAGCCTGCAAAATTTCACATTTCTGACATTCAAATTTTGTTTCTAACCATGATTTCTAAAAATTCAGCAAAAACTGTACAATTTTTGTATTTACACCTTTCTTCTACCTGTGAAAGTTAAGGCTGTAGATGGGGTGTCAATATATAAAAAAACACCCTGTACAAATAAGTGGATTATTGCGGAACTTATGGGTTGACCTCAGCCATCTACTCACCAATATACTGTTAAACTGTTCAAATAAGACACTCACCTGAAACACGTAGTTTTTGAACTAATGAGAAAAATTCACAACTGAGTGAATCAGGTTTAGTACAGCGGATTAGCTAACCTATTGTGCACTTTTTGATAAAGGTACCAAATTTGGCACAGAGGTAGACCGATGTAAGATGAACAAATTTGGATGTGGAGCCATCGGCCAATAGCCCCCCGGCGGCCATTTTCCAAAATGGCCGCCAATGGACACTCCGAAAGACAACGGAAGTTGGATAAAGTTTGCTGCTGAAGGTTTTAGTGGATGTTTATTGATTGTTTTCAATGAAAACATACCAGAGAGTTTGTAAGTTATACAGGGTGGGGTACGAAAAATGTCCCACCTAGTCTTTCTCAGGTGTTAGGTGATTAATCAAAAATTGTTCGAACACGTCCATTTTTGTTTTTTGGGAAACACATTTTATTGGTATTCTCACTCTATTAGACTATCCAAGATGCTGTCAAACTTAAATTAAATTGTCCGCCAAGAGGCACACAACCATATTTTGCGTGTCAAAGTCACGTGTTTTGGATAGGCTAATACCCGCAAAATTTCAAATACAAAGAGGGTTTGAGTGATACAATGCACTACATATTTCCTAACGTTGACGAGCAGCAATTTCGGCAGGAACTATTTATACCAATAAAGTAATAAGAAGGTTTGGAATGGCCCCTTGCCTATCTACTTAATACGTACATTTGCGGCCAAGATTAGAGTGAGAGAACAATAGAGATCCGTGTGATTTTCCAGCCCTTACTAACGCTATTTCACTCAGGGTTAGAGTGAGAGATCCTGATGGAGAGCCAATGGATTTTCTGCTATCTCATTCTGAAATCACTTGAATGACACAAAGCCCATTCCAAACCCTTTACTAGGTACTTCATCGCTATTTACCCTGTCGAAACTTAAAATTTCGAGGATATAATCCTAATAAAACTTTCCATCAAATGACGTATCACTCGACCCCCCTTTCTATTTGAAATTTTGGGGGTACCTGATGTCACCCCCACTTAGAGGGTAACAGGTAGGCGGGTGAAAATACCAATAAAATGGACGAGCGATTTTGAATTATTCACCTAATATCTCAGAAAACCTAGGTGGGAAGTTTTTCGTGTCCCGTGGTGTCACGTAGGTGATTAATCAAAAATCTCTCGACCATTTTATTGGTATTTTCACCCCCGCTTAGAGGTTGACAGGTACCTCCAAAATTTCGAACAGAAAGGGGGGTCGGGTGATACGTAATTTTATAGAAATTTTTATTGAGATTTTTATCCTCGAAATTTCAAGTTGCTACTATTAACCCTGCCAAAATTGCGGCTTGTGAAAGTTAGGAAATAGTACATTATTGTATCACTCGAACCCCTTTTCCATTTCAAATTTTACGGGTACCTGACACTCCCGCTTAGAGGTTGACAGGTAGAGGATGAAAATACCAATAAAATGTATCTCCCAAAAAACAAAAAATGACGTGTCCGAGCGATTTTTGATTACCCACCTTAAACCTGAGACGAGACCTGAGAAAACCTAGGTGGGAAGTTTTTCGTGCTCCACCCTGTATAAATTAAAAATCATCATGTTTTCATTCAAAAAAATCAATAAACATTCAATAAAACCCCCAGTAGCCAAACTTTGTCTTACTTCCGTTGTCTTTCGGGGTGTCCACCGGCAACCATTTTAAAAAATCGCCGCCGGGGGGCTATTGGCCGATGGCTCCACATCCAAATTTGTTCATATTACATCGGTCTACCTCTGTGCCAAATTTGGTGCCTTTATCAAAAAGTGCACAATATGTTGAAATATCCTAGCTAAGCTGCCGCACTAGTTAGTATTGTACTTGAACAACATATTGGTGAATAGATGGCATAAGTTCCCCAACAATCCACTCGTTTGTACTTGAATAACTTGTCACAAAATATTACTAGTTTGGCAAAGTAACATTACTAATTCTTGTTAAAAGGTAAATTAACAAAAAGTGGATAATCTTACAAATTCTGACTTTATATAATAAGTTATTGTTCAAGTACAAATAAGTGGATTGTTGCGGAATTTATGGGTGGACCTCCATCTCCATCTAATTACCAATATATTGTTGAACTGTTGAAGTGAGACATTCACCTGAAACGTGTAATT